TGTATGAAGTTATATTTTATATATATATATGTATATATATAACATACCTAGTGTATGGTGGAGCGAAGCTGTGCCATAGATGCTTGCTTTTGTGCTGCTTATTCCAGTTAGAGGAGGCACTTGTTCAGCTTTTCCAACCTGTGAATTGTAGAATGTCTTTTTTAAAAAAGAAAGGAATGAATTTCCAGCTTTGGGAATGCTGTGTGACTATCAGGTGTCGGCAAGGCCCAACAATGCCGTTTTTCAGCTGTATCACCTTTGGAAAGCACATTCCAGCAGAGCAATACTATTGAGCAGGTAAAGAAATGCTCTAGAAATGCCTGGTGTTGGTTTGGCCGAGACAAATAACAGGGATTTTGTTTTCTGCTCATCGCCGTATGTTGGTCTCAGGAGCTGTTTATCACTTTGCTGAGCAGGCGAGCTGAGCAGTCGGATGCGAGAGGGAAATCAGGAGTCTGGTACCCAGCCGGCCCTGGTCACTTTCTGGGGTCTGCTTGTTCACCAGGAGTGACAAGCGTGGAGGATTTGATTTGCCCAAAGTCTCAATGAAGATGAGGTTTGATCCCGAATCAGTCTGGTTTGTATTCCTGATATACGCAGTGCCCCAGACAAGGGAGCGGAGATGCATTTAAGAACATGGTTATAGTCAGCTTGAAATTTGGAAGTGAAAAGGGGAAAATAAGTAAAATCTCAGGCGATATAATTAACTGTTAGCAAGAAGGGATGTTTTCTTATTCAAACGGGAAACAAGATTGTACCTTGTGAAAGCAGAATTATTTCATACAGCCCAAGACAGCTTACGTTTGTTTAAAGGAGAAAACCAAAACTGTCTCTTTTTTTTCCTATGTAACTGAAGTCTCAAAGTGGGAACATGTTCAGTTATACAGTAGCTATTTTATTTAGCAAGATTGTGGCTTCAGGAGATTGCCTTGTCTTGCCTTTTTACTTTTTTCCCAACAAAAGCCCCAAATGCTTTTCAATGTATCAATCGTCAAATATTGAGCTTTTCTGCAAGATCACTTGAAAATCTATTCCGAGGTCCAGAGCAGCAGCGATCCCAATCAATGCGTGCTCTTCTGAATACGTTCCTTGTGAAAACAGGTAGAGAAATGAGAAAGTGACCGATAACTTAGCAGTAGGTAAGATATCACAGTGAAAGTGAAGTCAATAAAATAAAGCCCTGAAATGTACAAAATATCATCCTACACCCAGAATAAATTAGTTTGTGATTCCAACTTGGCTGAAGAAAAAGTGTATCCCTTAAGTCAGCTGGCACATACGCTGTGGGGTGAAATCGTATTGCCGTTAGTAAAGCTGGGTATTGATTTATCCCCCCCTCTTTTTTTCCTCTTTTAATCTTGAGCAGTTTATACTTTCTCTCATCATCCCTGTTATCTTGGGGGGTGTTAATTCTTCCCTCTCTCCCGTGCACTGGCCAGTTTACCACTTGCCCAGCTCTTTTCTATTTGATACCGTATTGTTTGCTGGCTTTGGGGGGGTCAGTCCCAGACTCCTCTTTCTCAGATTTGACACCCACTTTGATCTTTTTTAGAAGCATTTTATCAGCACTTGCTTATGGTAGAAATTGCCTCCTTTTTGTTCAGCAAACATTATTAGTGTTCTAGCAATGCTGGGATGGCTTTTATCTCCCTGTGGAATCTCATTAGCTTTACATTACAATAGGAACAGCATATGTGCAACTTTGCCAAAGTGGCCAGTCAATTTAAATTTGTTAATAGCGTGCGGGGTTTTTTTAAGCAACTTTCTTCAGTGCCAAGAGAAAACAACTTTGTTGTTCAGGAAAACAAAAACTACAGTTTGTTAGAAGTAGAAATAGAGCAGAAGGAGAGCGGCTGCTCATAAATATCTTCAGAACTTTCTGTTCTTTGTCATGTCTGGTACTGTCCTATGAAAGCACCGTCTTAAAAGAAAGAAATTCATCTAGCTAGGATTACAGTTATTTCCGAACGCTACATGAGATGTGTTTAAAAGAAGTGACTGATTTGAGTTATGCAGTTCTATTAATGCACTGCTAATCACCTTAGTTCTAGGGTTTTTTTAATTCCAAATGGTAACAGAAATGGCTTCGGCAGGTTGAGGTCCATTTTGCGGTTGTTTTTGCAGACTCACCAGAATGGACACAATCCCAAAAGTTTTCCCTTCCAAATGTCAGACTTGCGCGTCCTTGTTCGCGCTGAATGGAGCTGCTTTTGGAGTCAGGCGTGCGCGCGAATGATGGGGAGCAGAATCTGCTTCTAAAATTGTAGCGCAACTTAAAACCGGATTCTGTGTAGGACTGATTCGATGTGGTGTTCTGCGGAGGAAGTTTGCATGGTGTGAACTAGAGCCTGTCTGTACGCGGATTTATTCAGGAATTGCATCTTCTGCAGATTCACCTCCCTGAATAGCTCCAAGCACGAGCCTCTTCCTCTCCAGTGAAAGTTTCGAGTGCTTCAGCACGATTCGCTTTGCTGAATTAGACCAAATACAAATCAGGAACGAGTGGAGTTTGCTGGGAATAGCAATTGTAATTTCAGTTCACACTTTATCTTACTCAAAATTTACTATAGCGTATAGACAAGCCCTTGGAAGAGCATTACTTTTCCATGTTAAAACTAGAAAATGCAATTTAATCACTAAGTAGACAATCATTTCTGCATTCAACCTAGAAGTTCTGAGGAGCAGCAAGCTGTTGGCTTCCTAAGTTGTTAGCACAGTTGACAGGCTGCACACTGTTAGTGAATGGTAGCATAGCTGTCAGAAAGTGCCCCCTTCCAGAACTACTAAAAATGGTTGTGATTAAAAAAATACATTATCAAAGCATTGTTTGGTTTTCCTGATTTTTTGTTTAATTATTCTTGTTATTATACGTATACATTTTATATGTATTCTGTCTAGCTGCAATTCCCAGGTGTAAGATATTGTTACAGCCCTGTCTGGGAAATTAAAAAGCTTTCTGTCAGAAATCTTTTACTAATGCAAGTATTCGTAAACCGTAATCGTATTAATTGATTCCTGGTTTCAGAGGAAATGAAGAGAGCTCGATTCCTGTCTGTTCAACGTAAGCAACCTGAAATAGGACTACAAGAGTTAAATATTTTAACTTTTCTCATTTAAAAAATGGAGAAGAGGGTACTCAGGGAATGGAAGCTACCTGGCAAAAGCTGCCCAAAATTACATTGAGAATGTCTTCACAGCCGTGTAATCCTTGGTTTGCTACTTCCCCGTGGAATTTGTACATTTCCTGCAGATGAACACTGAAAATACAGAAAAAATAAGAGTATATTCTCCTTTTGTCTGACACAGGTAACAGATCATGCGACCACTGCTCTGTTGCACTACCAGCTGCCTCAAATGCCAGATGTGGTGGTCAGATCTTTCATGGTAAGTGGATTGGAAAACACATTTTTCCAGATAAGAGTTCGGCATGCTCACAGTGATGGCCATTAGGCAGATGTGATGCAGTTGTTTCCCTTGTTTAAACAAGCCAGACTGTAGAGATTAACTGTAATTCTTTGTATCTCATACCTGGACAAGGCTGGAGAGTTTATTCTCATTGCCCTGGGATAATTGCTGTTGGAAGCCTACTCACCCAGCACAGCAGCAGGTGGTTTTGGGAACCGAGGGAATGCTTACAGAATAAAATTAATCAAATATTGCTCTGCCTTGAGACACAGATTTAAGTTTATAAGCTTTAATTCTGCTTATATTTAGAATTTTAGTTGTGAAATAAACTTAGATATAAGCAGCCTGGTTAATCAGAGGGTGAGAACAAGGTTTTATGATTCAGAATTCCTTCTACCAAGATGAATTTTGGCAGTGGAGACTCTTGCTGTTCTCCCAAAAGGAGCCTTGTGGGAGAGGCTTTCTCTGCCTATCAGACTTTTCCCTCTGTTTACTTCCTTTACGTTATCCCTTCACCCGGCGCAGTGTAACTGAGACTGCTAAAAACAAACATCTAATTTTGCCATGCACAATCTTTACGTGTGTACAGTAGCATTGGTTCTTTTATATCTTCAATTTCCACAGTGTAATTCTGGAACAGTCAGACTCCCTTACCTGCTGTGCTGGTTGGTTTGTTTAATAAAACACCCACTACATGAGAGATTTGCAAAGATCTTTTCTCTTGGAGTGCATCTTAAAAGAATAGGTTTTGAGAGGTGAAAGCAACTCTTACTGGTCAAATTCATGTTTCAATGCGTTTCTGAAAATTAATGTTTAATAGAATGGGTAGCAGGTTTGCTTAAGCTGTGGACCTCTGCCTTATTGATTCGATACAACATTACTAGAACTTTTAACGAAGCAAGCCCAGATGTACACCAGCAGTGTCGATATGTTGGGCCTTTCACATGTCAGTTGTGCGATCCACCTGACAGGATGTAGGGGAGCCCTGATTTTCTGATGGGAATGAAGAACACATTTTTTTTCCTTTCAACAGATGTCTCAAGTGCACAATTTAACTTCATTTACCTATTTTCGTGTTATGCTTCAGAAAATTCGATTTCTCTGTAGTGCAAGCAAAGCCCATCCGAGCTGAAGTAAATGACAGCAATTTACTTGTAGTGTTCTGCTGCCCTTGTCCCCATATTTACTGCTAAACCCAGAGAAGATCCCATTCTTTTGGAGAAGAGTTATTGACGGCCAAAGGTTCGGTTGCTATAGAGAGGGCTCTGATGAAGATGGAAGGATTTGTTTCAATAAACTCTGCTGACCTGTTCTTCGGAGAACAATTTTCTCTTATCGATGTAATGCAATAGGACTTTAAATGACAAGATTCATGTGCATCCTTTGCAGTATAAATCTGCTGGTCTAGGTGGTTTTTGGTTGCGTATCTCCTTGAGTTGGGAGTTAAGTGATGCTCATTGCCATGGATGACCATGGGAACAGCCCACTTGAGAGGCAGGAAGTTCACCTGGGAACACCTGGGCTTACTCTGTGCCGTTCAGCACTAGCCCTTTATATACATACATACAGATATATTTAGTAGTGTAATCAGATTTTCAATAGTACAGTATTATGACCAATGCGTATTGATCTTAAAATCGCATTAGAGAGGAAGTTCGTTAGCTCGCTGTGAAAGTCCTTATATCTTCAGCTATGAAGATTTCAGACTGTTGCAGCATGATTGCAGCAGGGGTGTGATAGATGATCATAGGACGAGACAAACCAATATTCGATTGAAGAAGGTGCCCATCAGGAACAATTATATTGCAGTAAAAATGTGAGGAGCGTTACAATGCTTCCCTTCCGTTGTGATTATGTGGCTGTGAACACCTCCTGCTCGGAGCGCATGGGTTTCTATTAACAAATTTGCTTAAGTGACTAAAAAAAGCAGAAGATGATTAATAAAGTGGGAATCCAGCTGTACAGCGACCTTGTAATCTTCTGCATGTTTCTGTTTATAAAGTCACTGTATACCTCACTGGGGCCTCGCCAAAGTGCATTCCCTGTCCTTGCTATGGCTGTTTGACAAGAGTGGTGACAAAGGGGAACGTCCATAACCAGTTTTCTTCATTTCTCTCCCTTTTCCTTGTAGACCTGGTTAAGAAGTTACATAAAGCTGTTCCAGGCGCCGTGCCAGCGCTGCGGAAAGTTCCTGCAGGACGGCCTGCCACCCACGTGGAGGGATTTCCGAACGCTTGAGGCTTTTCATGACACTTGCAGGCAGTAGTAGCCTGGCTGTTGGTACACGAGGAGTGGAAATCTGTCGGGCTTGGGAAGGAGCTGAGGGTTTATTGGGTGGTTCCCGTTTCTCAGCCTTTCGTCCTGTCCTAAGCAGTGAGGTTGCACTAATACCTTTGACTGTTTAAAAGCCGTCAGCCTGCAAGGCGCATGTGAGACCAGTGTATTCTGAAGAAGATGGTAAGAAGCCGTGTGTGATCGCTTTGCCTCTGAGCTGAAATGACGTGTCCGGAGACATCTGACATAAATAATAATTAACATTAAGGAAAATACTCATGTACAGTTTGTGTTTTGTGACAAAATTTGCAATGTTGAAGACTTTTATAAGCTTGAAATAAATTTTGTATTCTAGAATTTGTGCTATTTCATTATTTGATCAACGAAATCATTGGGCTTGGTATGGATTTTTCAACACTGCTTTTGTAGAAAATGGGGAACGTTTAGACATGCGTGCTGGTATGAGGGGGGTGGTTGTTGCAAGGCTGCTTATCTGAGTGCTGGTCTTTTTCCGGAAGAGATTATGGTGTTGATTAAACATGGAATTTCAAAGGCGTGTGGCGGCTTGGAAGATGCAATGTACTTTCGAAGGCGGGGGGGAAACAGATGTTTCCCTTTACTAAAATTGTAATGAAAAATGTTAGCAAAATCTGCATGTATTAAGTGGTAAGAAAACGCGTGATGAGCAGTGACAGTGTGTATAATTCGTGGTGGTTTAGGACTGAAAGTAGTCAAATAATTCAGCCCTAAAGCACAGCCTCTGCAGCGCAGACGCATACAGCATGTTTCCTAAATGACACTAAATTTACATGCAGTGTACCCGTGAAGAGGGAGACCTTGAAATGGATGGGAGTGCTCAGCTCCCACAGGCCCCAGACACTTTTCCTGCACCCAAAGACCAGGAGAGTCCCTGGTCCTGTCCCAGCTGAGTCTTCTCTGGTGGTTTATAGAGGACTGTGTTTCATCTGCCATCTCCTGATGGTTTGATTAATTCTCCTGTCGTTCCCACTAGCGCACCCTTGTTTACAAGCCACAAAGGCTTCGGTAATAAGCTTGCTTTTGGGAAGGGGAGGTCTGGAGCCGCATTGTCACTCAATTAATTTTTAAATAAATTGACATTAAGGTATAGTGCTGCAGACTGATTTTTGAGGTTCTTTCTGCCTGTGTGAGAAGCTTTTGTTGCCAAAAGAAAAGATGCCCCTCTCAAGGCTTTGGTGGTGGTAAAGTTTAGTTTTCAGGAAGGAATATTGAGTGAAGTTAATGACATTTTGTAAAAAGAAGGAGATGGGGGGAAGGGGCCTTTCATAGCTGTGGAAACTGAAAAATGAAGGAACTTGAGTTATCGCCCTGTACTTGCGTGGTACTAAATTAACTGGGTTTGCTGGTAACATAAAAGACTGAGCTCCCAAAGACAGCAGCTCCTTCCTGCGAGGACAGCGTGTGATGTGGGAATTTCAGCTTTCTGGGTATAGAAACCCATGCAAGACTTGCTCATATGAAAGAGAGAGGAGCTTGAAAGAACAGATGTGTTTATGACTTCCTTTGGAGGCACAGCACAGTTTATGAAGAATGAATGTGTATTTGTTTGAGGATGTTGGTAAGTGAGATTTTCTGGTTTCAACTTTTTTCCTTTTTTTTTTTCCCCCATCACCAAGCAGAACCATGGGCATCACGATGGGATAATGGCCATTTCAAACCCAGCTGCAGCTGAATTACCTCATGAGAACTTTGTCATGCTATTATTTGACCCAAGTAGCCTCCTCGGTACAAAGATCACCCAAGACAGAACAATGTGTGCATCTTAGATGAGAGAGCCGTGTAAATAAGCGGCCCTGCTATCCGTCCCGTTACTGTACTAATTAGAAGGCCTGTGCTTCTGATAGCGTAAGCATTTTTTTTTGGTTAATGAAAAGGTCATAGTATGGTATCCAACCTGCTTTAGGTGCTGCTGTCTGCTCCGTTCTGTCTATACTCAAATAATGGTGCAGAAAGCAAATCTCAAAGTTCACAAAAGTATTGTACGTGGAATCGTGTCTGGGCACTTGGAGATAATTAGTTGCAGAAAACAGCATCAGCTGCTCTGTGTGTTAATTGAGCCTGAAATTTTAAAGCTGTAATTGGTGAGCCCGTTGGAGAGTCATAAAATTCACTGTAGGTACCTCAGTACAAAAATAATTGTCTTACAGAAACGCAACGCAAACCTGTTTGTCATGTTCCTTCCCCCAGAAAACTGCGGTAGGGGGGAGTCTCCCCTCGAGAGAAGCAGCGATTTCTGTCCCTGCAAGCCTTTAAGTGATGAAAACAGGGTGAAATATTACCATTTTGGTGAGTAGAATTCAGTGATCTAAACTAAAGCTCATGAATTTCAGCACTTTGGGTGCGGGATGTGCTCATCTCTGCTTGTCCTGTCAGTCTGGGTGCTCGGTAGCCAGAGCTCGATGACCTCTGAGCTGTGGATCTCCAGGCCAAGCAGAAGCTCACTCTGAGTTTTGGGTGTGAGGAACAGAAACTGGGAGATCGCTTCTAACTACAAAGCCATTCTCCCGATCCAGCATTTTGGTGTTCTTCCTCAGCTTTGTAGCTTGGTTACCGGTCATTACTATTCTTCTTTTCTACCCTTAGCTAAGGGACAAAAAGCAGTTTGCAGGATGAGCGACCTTTTTTATCACAGGCATTCATTGCAGCTTTTAAAACAGCTCAGATCTTTAAGGCAAACAGCAAGGACCAGGATTGCTGAGGAGGGGCTGGCTCTTGCCTCTTCTAGAGCGTCTTCCAGAACTGCATCGCTCCTGATGCTGATCTCTGCAAGGCCAGCGCCACTGCAGAATTGGTAGCAGCCAAATATTAACAGAGGAAAGGAAACTCATCTACATGCAGGAACAGCAGTGCTGCTTTTAGTGGCTCAGGTTGTCTGTGCTATAGAGCTGCATCGCTCCAGCATTGCTGTTTATAGTGCAATGATAGATTAATCTCACCTCATGCTGCAGGAAACGTGCGTTGCCTCACCCTGTTTGGTATCGTCTTGGTATCACTTGCCCTAATGGGAACAGGCGGTCCTCTATTGCATCCCTGATAGAAAGAAATCCCATTTTATTTTCCCCTGTGCAAACCCCACCTACTGCGCTTGTGGCGCTTGCAAGTGCTAAAGGTTACAAAATCCATCTTTTTGCTAAGAAAGCAACTTAATTAATGTGAAAGTTGCTCTCGTGAAGGGAACCCGCAGCAGATACGCAGTGCATATTGCAGCCGGCTCCCCTCTTCCCTCCCAGCACCCCTCCCCAAGCCACTTTAATTTCTCTGCCAATATTGGACAAATGTAACAGGCTGACTTTTTAATTTTCTACTCCCAGGTCTCCCTTGTCCCCTCATGCATTTTTCATCACAGCTCATGGCTCCCTCCCTGCCTGCCCTGTGAACAATATTGATCGACTGATTAAGCCATCAAGCCATGGCAAACAACTTTAATTTTCGAACCAAAGCCTTTTCGTTCTCTTCCCTTTCTTGTATATTTGTTACCTTCTTACGAAGTTTTTAATGCCCGCTTGGAAACAAATACATTTTTTTAATTAGTCCCTAGGTTAATTGGGAGCTGCGCACCACCGAGAGCAATCGGCACCGAAATATTAACCCATAAAATGTAAAAAGAGAGTGGGAAATGCTAGGTACGGTCCCCTGGTTCAAAGCCAGAATAATTCCTGCCCAAGCTTTTGGAGAAGGGCTTAAAGAAGACTTACAATATTTGCCTTTCCTCTTGGGTCTCTCCCAACAGCTTTAAATTTGGCTGAGAAGCGAGAAACTCACCGTGGCCATACAGCACCCCTGGTCATACCCACAGCGCTTGGGTCCTGGGTACCAGGCTGTGCTTCTGCAAGTGCTTGGACCACAAATTAACATTTCTGCAGGTATTTGTCAGGCCTGGTTTGTCTTGTAGAAGGTTCTTCAACTGTGATGATGATAAAATGAAAGGAGATTTCGTCTGACCTGGACCCCAGGGCTGGCAGGTGAGTAAAAGCCTTTCTTCAAACTCAGTACCTGTGGTTTCAGTGAGGCTTGTCAGAATCGCTCCGTGGGTTTGCAAATTGCTTTTCAAGGTAAAAATGCAGCTTAAATATCAGGATATTTGTCTCGTTGGAAGCCTTCGAGCTCTGCACTGTGGAGTGATGCTGCAGCCCTGTCTTAGGTGCTGGTGTTTTGGGTAGCACCGACCCGTGAGAGCACACAGGGCACTTGTGGCACGTGTTGAGGATCCTTGTTGTGAGCATGGGCTCCACTGCTCGTTCTGACCTCTCCAGATCTGTGAATTATGACGATGAGCAAAACCAAAGGAAGCAGGCCAGTGTCGATGAAGGGTTTGCATAAATTCAGTGCCAGGACCAGGCATTACACACCCCTGTGACCACCCTGTGACTCATCTCTCTACTAGGATTTAGCTGGGATTCGATTGCTCCTTGTGCTCCTTGCTCTGTACCAATACATGCAAGGAGCCGAGCCCCTGGAGTGGGCAGATGTGGTTCCACGTGCTCACAGCAAGGAGGTTAAGCAGGAGGCTCAGTTTTCTGCTCAAAAGCTGTCACCCACCATGGCATGGAGATCTGAATGGTGGTGTTGCTGCCCACATCTCTGCCTGCGTGACCTTGTTACAGGCCCAGCCTAAAGATTTCGTTCAAATACATGCAACAGGGTGACAGATCAGCCTCACAGCTGACGCTCGGTGTGGGTTTCACAGTGAGTTTAGCACCTTAATGCATGTCCTGGACTCCTTCCCCCAGCTCCATGTGGGAGCTGGCTCCTCCATCGGGGTTGAACCTCACAGCCCGTGCCAAAACCTCCGATTCCCCTGGTTTATCGCAGCAGGGCTTCTGTTCTCCTAAACTCTCCTGGTGTCCTTCAGAAGAGGAGATTCTTCTGCACTTAAATGGAGGAGGAGGTGATGGCTTTGACTGGGTTTCTCTGCCTCAGAAGTTGGCTGTTTTGCCCATGGTCTTTCACTGG